GAATGGAAACTTTCTGAGTCGTTGTTTGGAAGGATGGTGGTGAATGGCTGTGACAGGTGGGACGGTTAGAAGGTGTGAGTTCAATGTGGAGAAAATAGGGGGCTGTCATAGAATATCAGGGTTGGAAGGGACTTCAGGAGGTCATCTAGTCCAACCCCCTGCTCAAAGCAGGACCAATCCCCAATTTTTGCCCCAGTTCCGTAAATGGCCCCCTCAAGGATTGAACTCACAACTCTGGGTTTAGCAGGCCAATGCTCAAACCACTGAGCTATCCCTCCCCCCCGAGGGCTGTGTATCCCAGGGCTGTGTCAGGAATGCAAAGGGGCTTGGGATGGAAGTGAAAGAGAAGATCTGAGAGATGACGATAATTTACAAAGCCATCCATTCATTTCTATATGAGAGACAGCACGGGGTGGGGAACTACGAAGCAAGACAAGAGGAGCTAGAGGGGAATTGATTGAGGACTTCAGAACGTTGAAGGACAGAGTCCCTTTCCCACAACATGAAAGCAACGGGTCCCTGCATGGGATTGTTCTTCTTCGAGTGACATATCCAATATGGGGGCTGTCCACCACCACCACTATCACCCATCTTTCGCAGTCACAACAGTGTTATAAAACTTCCCCTCTCCTTTGGGTACCAGTCGATCTGGTGCTGTTTCCAACGTAGCTGGCTTTCTTTCCTCCTCTTACTGGTTTGCCTGCCATCTTGCCTGATAGTATGAATGCTCCAGTCAGGTCACTCTGAGATCAGCGTGTCTACAGAAAGATGTGATTGATTTCCTAGGGTCTCAAGTAATTGGGCTTTTTAACAATTCATACTTCTCATCACCTCGTTGTTCCTAGTTTTGGTGATCCAGCTAATTTTCGTGTTCTTCTGTAATTCCCAAACTCAGACCCTCTGAGCCATCTCTGTATCCTCCTTAAGTGTTCAGCTCCCACATCCCTGGTGGAGGGGGTGACCACATGCAGCCTGTCAGCAGTTTAGTGCGGCTGAGTCGTGTCAACTTTCAAAAACCCAGCTGCTGAATGGAGAATGGGAGATTTAGCTGTACGGCGTGACAAGGAATAAGGGTTAGCTCTAGCCAACAAGGGGTTAAATTCCAAGGAAGGCACTGCCATTGGGTTCATAGGAGTCTGTTAAACACCAAGTTACTGCCAACAGCTGTTTTTTCCCACCCAGTATACCTCTTTAGGTGCCATAAAATACAAAGTCTTATCAATTAATAAGCTGATAAACCTCACCCTGCAGATTGTTAGCTAATTGCCTATGGGCCAACTGAATTATAGGGAGTTGGGTTTTTTTCCCTCCTTCTCCTGAAGCATCAAGAATTGGCCACTCCTGGCAGGAGGATACCGCAGCAGATGGACCAGTGGTTTGATATGATGTGGCTACTCCTATGTTCCCAAAAGCAGAGAGACTTTACTTGCCATGAGTCAAGGAGGCGACTGGAAATCTGCATGGGGATAAGCTTTTGTTCCAAGCCCAGGGGAACGTGGGACTTTTCCAGCTCACTTTTAGCCAGCCTGCATCTGCTTCTCAGTCCAGAGAAAGAAAGAAAATGTGCTGAAGAGCTAACTGCCTTTGCTGTAAGAGAGTCTGGAAGAGCCTGTTATAAACCCAATGGAATTAGGGCCTTGAGTGCATCCAACCCATCCTCCTCTCTCTACACTAGCTTCCCTTCCCATAGAATTTCAAATCTACTGCAACGTCTTAGTCCTTATCTTCAAAGCCCTCCATGGCCTGAGCTCAGGGTGTCTAAAAGACCATCTAACTCTCCAGCACAAAGCATGGTTAACAACTGTGCTTTAACACAATGGAGCTCTCAGCAACAAGGGTAGAGGACATCTTTGTGGGAGACAGAACTTTCTCTGGGGGTGGTCCGAGACTGGAATGAACTCCCCTAAGAGCAAAGATCCATCCCAAAACTCACCACTTGCCACTTCAAATGCAAGGTGCATTCCTTTGACCAGCCTTCTCTAACAAATGCATAGCCACAGGTATACTTATATTAAAAAAAAAAAAAGACCCCTACCAAAACAAGACAAGTAACATGTGACAGATGTGTAGACACATTGCTTAATGCACTACGGGAAGACGCTCAGGTATTATGGTGATGAGCATGATATAAAAACCTTTATAGGATAGTAGTGTCTCTCTGAGCTTTGGGCAACTAAAACATTTGCTGCCATTGGCACTGTCTTTGGATGGTTTCTAAAAGGTGTGTGAACTGTGTTCTTCCAGGAGGTGGGCAGCATCCCTTCTTAGCAGAGAAGCTAGAGATGGAAAAGATTTGCCAGATCCCTGGAGCCGGGATTAGAACCTGGACTCCCACTCCTGTGGTCACACATGAATAACAAGCCCTCCAGTACCAGTGTAGAATGTTCTACAGAGAAAAGCCACCGGCCTGGTTGCTGGGGAATGGCTCCGCTGTGGCTTTGTACAATCAATCGAATCTTGTCTTAACTTCTGAGAAATCAGGAAGGCTGTGGGAGAACATCCCCACCCTTATCATGAGAAGGCTGAGGAAGTCAGGGTGATGTCTGAGAAAGCATGTGGGGTGGGGGGGGAGGGGGGGAAGGAAGGAAGGAAGGAGAGGAGCTTCTGATGGCTTAACCTTATTCCTGCAATAACAATAGCCCTTATCTCGGCTCCAAGGGTCCTGTTCCAGGGAGAGATGCTGGACTCATTTAATAAATCACCAATTCACTTGGATGGTGACAAAGGAAGCATTCTGCTGCCACACACGCAAAGGGTTAATGTCTCCTTGGTGGGACTGGTGTTATGCCAGGATGGCTGGTTGCCAGACCTCGGCTTGCTTTGTTTTTCTTAGATCTTTTGTTAATGGTTCACATATGTCCAGGAGCTCTGCAGATCCAAGAAGGGCTGAGATAGCAGGGCAGAGAGAACAGATCAGATTCTTTTCTCTGGCAAATATGGGCATAAGCCAGGAGTAACTCCATTGACATCTGTAGAGTTACTCCAGGTATAGCTGAAGCCAGAATCTGGCCCAGTATATTTATGCAGAGGGCAGGAATCATCCAGGATTTCTCCTACATCTTCCCCTGGCCATTGTCCTGGCTCATCCTTATGGCTCCCAAGTAAGCCTGGACCAAACACCTTTCCAGAGTCCATCCAAGTCTCCCAGAGGTGGCTCCCTGCCTTCAGAGTTGCATCCATCGACACCAGGTCTGCATTTATCCCAAAGAATTGGGCAGGGAGAGCACGAGATAGAGAAAGGAACAGCTAATCTGGAACGTGAATGGAGAACGCACTGGTGGGGGGCAGATGGAAACAATGATGAGGGGCAGCCACACACCTGCTATCCTGGGCATGGGCTTTCCCTGCAGTTTCTCCCCTCGGTTACCTCTCCCTTTTGGATTGAAAATGGCCCCTTTGTTTTTTTAATGGCGAAAGAGGTCTTCAGAATTCAGCCATCAGTTCCTTGGCTTAGCGGCAGCATCTGGGCCAGCGAATAACAAGGAAACATTTACTGTAAACACTGATTTAGAAGAAGAAGAAACACAGAGGTTTGTACCCTACCATTATTTTTGAAATGTTCTTTGTCTTTGATGGGATTTAGCAGAATGACGTTTATATTGGCACCTAGATACTATGATGCCGGGCATGGGCGGATGTTTGTGATCTGAATCAGTGTAACACCCTGCCTGTAAATCTGGTAACATATCACTGACTTGCATGGAGTTCTTGTTATCATTTGTATGAGGGTAATACCTATAGACGCCAACTGAGATCTGGGCCCCACTGTGCTGAGCTCTGTAAGGAACGGTCCCTGCCCAAGAGGGCTGACAACTGAATTAGACGAGAAGTAGGAGAAAGGAATCATGATTATCCCCATTGTACGGAAAATCAGAGAAATAATAGAAATGTCAGGCAGGAAGGGACCCTGAGAAGTCATCCAGTCCAGTCCCCTGTGCTGAGGCAGGACCCAGTAAACCTAGACCCTCCCTGACAGGGGTTGTCCAACTCGTTCTTAAAAACCTCCAATGACGGGGATTCCACAACCTCCCTCAGAAGCCTCTTCCAGAGCTGGTCTGATAGTTAGAAAGTTGTCCTAATATCTAACCTAAATCGTTTGTTGTAGGTTAATCCCATTACTTCTTGTCCTACGTTCAGTGGACAGGGAGAGCAATTGATCCCCATCCTCTTTATAACAGCCTTAACAGATCTGAAGACTCTCAGGTCCCCCGTCGGTCTTCTTTTCTCAAGGCTAAACGTGCCCAGCTTTTAAAATTTCTCCTCATAATAACAATACCTAGCTCTTATCTAGCACCTGTCATCAGCACATCTCAAAGCGCTTCAAAGAAGAGATCTGTATCATTATCTCCATTTTACAGATGGGGAAACTGAGGTACAGAGAGGTGAAGTGACTTGACCAAGGTCTCTCAGGAAGTCTGTGGCAGAGCTGGGGACTGAGCCCCAATTGCCCGAGTTCCAAGCCAGTGCCTCTTCCCCAAGACCATCCTCCCTTAGAGGAGGAGTATGGGCCAGTGTACTGAGTAGGGGACTAGCGGCCAGGGCGTCCTGGGTTCTAGCCCTGAGGTGCAGGGGAGCTAACCAATGAAACTCTCTGAGTCTCAGCTGCCTAATGCCACAAAGGGGTTAATTTGACACTTCTCTCTCACAGGGCTCTGGGGAGTGTCCGGTTAATGGCTGTGCATCGCTTTGGGTACATAACCGGCTATCCAGGTGCAGTCTTTTTATTATTGCTGGCAGCAGTGCTCACCTGGTGCCTATGCTAACTCGCCAGGTGAAGCAGGGCCATGCTTAAAAACAATCTGTAAAACCAGAGTCTTCCTGCAGCAGCATGAGACTTGGCAGCTCTCTTTATTACACCTCCCCATAGAAAGGAGCTCAGCGTCTTGTCCAGAGAGCCGGAGGGCGCAGGTTCTCTGGAAACGGACTGGACTGAGCCAGAACCACATGCGCCATAGAATGGGTGACCTCTGCCTAATCTCGCTGTTTGCTTTCTCTCCTAGGATCCAGCATTTTAAGGAGAGCATCGGGTTCATTCATGAATGCCGGCTCCATGGGGGAGGCTGCCTCATTCATTGGTCAGTGTTGATGTCAATTGCCCCCTTTGCTTATATTCACTGTGTTTTTCATTGTTATCAAAAGCTCTGTTAATACTACGGTAGCACCCAAAGGCCCCAGTGAGACCAGGGCCACATTGTGAAGGCGCTGCACAGACACACAGCCTGAGACAGGCCCTGCCCCGACTGGGACCAGGGTCCCATTGTGCCGAGTGCTGCATGGGCACAGACGAGAGACAGGCCCTGCCTTGAAGAGCTTGCGGTTTAAATAGACAAGACAGATTAGTGGTGGGAGGGGAAATAGATGCCTAGAGATTGGAAGCCTCGTGCCCAAGGTCCCTCAGCAGATCAGCAGTAGAGCTGGGAACAGAATCTATATCTTTTGAGTCCCAGTGCAGTTTCCTATCCACTGGATAGCTCTTGATAGGAAAAGCATTCTCGAAAGAGGCCCCCTCTGAAACAGGGGACTGCCTTTCCACACACACTTTGTGTCTTTCACAGGGTGTTGGTGCAGGGCTGACTGATGCACTCCATGCAGGATGTACTTCTAGCCAGGCAGCTGAATTGGGGTTGCTCCTCCTGGGCTCTCCTACCTCCTGAGTGCACTTTGTCACTGTGTGCTCTTCTTGTTTTCAATCCTTCTGCTACGATAGCCTGGCTGGTGTTTCCCGCAGCACCACCATCCTGGTGGCTTACCTTATGACTGTGACCGACCTCAGCTGGGAGGAGTGTCTGGCTGCCACCAAGGTTGTCCGTTCCTATGTCAGTCCTAACTTTGGCTTCCAGCAGCAGCTGCAGGAGTACGAGATGACTCTGCTCAAGGAGGTACATCCTTTCCTCTCCTTGCTCGTGGGCTGGCATTTACGCATGGGACAAAACAACTGTAGGCCATGACTCTCAGATGTTCCCATTTTACTGTTGTGATTGTTGGTGCATGGTGTGACTGCACATGCATGGGGTGTGCTGAGAGTAAGTTGCAATGTCATTATGTCTCGGCCTCCAAAATAAATCAAGAACCAAATTTGCAGAGGGTCTCTTGTCTGTGTTAGCAAAATTCGCAGGCACATCTGTTTTGTACGCATAAAATAGGTAACTGATCATGCAAATACCAAATGCTTACAGAAGTTGGGGGTTGGGTCTGGTACTTGTTACTTGGGGATTTTGTTTGTTTTACGCATGCATGCAAAAAAAAGTACCTACAGTAACTCCTCACTTAACATTGTAGTTATGTTCCTGAAAAATGCGACTTTAAGCGAAACAATGTTAAGCAAATCCATTAATGTTAAGCAAATCCAAGAATGATAAGTTTTAAACAAACAATTTAATAATGTACACAGCGATGATGATTGTGAAGCTTGGTTGAGGTGGTGGAGTCAGAGGGTGGGATATCTCCCAGGGAATGCCTTGCTGCTAAATGATGAGCTAGCCATTGGCTGAGCCCTCAAGGGTTAACTCACTGTTGTTAATGTAACCTCACACTCTACAAGTGTAGAATGGAGGGAGGGGAGACGAATGGAGGGAGGGGAGACAGCATGGCAGACAGAGACGGAGGCACACATCCTGTATGTCAGAGAGAGAGATGCGCATTTCCCCTTTAAGTACACTGACACCACTCTTAAGTACATTACCTTGTTAAGTTAATCAGCGAGCTGAGACCAGCAGCTGCTGCCAGGAAGACCCTCTGTCCTGAGCCCTGTCGTGTGTCCCCCTTGCTCTATGGAGATGGGGTAAGCGGGGTGCAGGAGCAGGGGAGAAGGGGGACACCCTGACATTAGCCCCGCTCTCCTCCCCCCACCCCAGAAAGCAGGAGGCTCTGGAGAGCAGCTCCAAGGCAGAGGGCAGGAGCAGCACATGGCAGTGGGGGGAGGGACAGGTGAACTGCCGGAAATTGATCGCCTGCTGGACCAGCTCTAGGCACCAGCACAGCGAGCGCCTGCGTGGGGCGGCACATTTCCAGGGGCTGCGTTCCGGCCATCTATTTTTTCCCCCTGGCCCCGCTCAGTCAACCAATGGGACCCTGCGTGGGGCGGGGCGGCGGGCTCAGCGCGGGGGGTCCCAGCCCGGGGGCGGTCCCTGCCCTGACCCCCCGCCGCTGGGGGAGTGGGGTGATGCGGCTCCTCCCCCCTCGCCCGCCCGCCCCTGCCACACGTGTCACAAGCAGCGGAGGAGCCGGAGAGGAGCCCGGGATCGGAGCAGGACCCGCGGCCAGTAAGGGACCCGCCGCCCCGGGCGGCTTGGCGCTGGGCAGGCAAACCTGACCCCCTCCCGCCGCTCTGTCAGTTACTGTCCCCTCTGCAGGGGTGGGGCTGGGTTTGAGATCGGGCTAGGGGCCCACGGGCGGGATGTACAGCCCCGAGTACCTCACTCCAAGCACTGCTATAGCATTAGGCATTCTTTTAACATCACCAGTATTAGTGGCTTCTGGTGAGCGCAGTTTCTCAAAACTGAAATTACTAAAAAATTATTTGAGGTCCACCATGTCTCAAAGTGGTTTGTCAGGACTTGCATTCATTTCAGTGGAAAGTACCATTGCAAAAAATTTAGATTTCACTGAATTACTAAAAGACTACGCAAGTATAAAAACCAGAAACACTCAGTTCATATAAATTCTTTTAATTTATGAGAAACTGGGTGCACGGGCAGACACTAACGTTTTTCATTACGGTGTGTAGTTGAACCCAAATTGTTTGTAATTGTGATTTTGTTAAAATGAAATGAATACACTAGTAGGAAATTGTTTTATTTCACTAACTACAAATTCTCTGTTTTCATTTTTTTTTAATTTTAAACAGTCAAAACCAAACAAAACCATTGCAAAGTGCAAACATGCGTAAAAGTGAAAAGAAAAAGGGGGGAGGGAACCATTTTTTTGCTTGGGGCGGCAAAAAACCTAGAGCCAGCCCTGATAGCCTGCTGGGCTGCTGCTGCACAGGGAATTTAGGGGAGCGGGGAGCTGATCAGGGGGCTGCCGGTCCACCCTGGTTCCAACCCCCCACCAGCTCGCTCCAATGGGCTGCTCTTCCTGCAAGCAGTGGACAAAGCAGGCGGCTGCCAAACGGCGTTAGAAGGGAGCATTGCGCAACTTTAAACAAGCATGTTCCCTAATTGATCAGCGACGTAACAACGAAACGACATTAACCGAGTGAGGAGTGAGTTGTACAAATTTTGTGGGTGCATTTTATGGGTGTAAATTTGGTACTGTAATTGTCTGATGAGCTCTGTTTGTGAGACCGGCTGGTGAAAAAGAAGACACTGCTGGGTATTCCAGGATGGATGATGAGTGCTGGCTGGGGCCCCAGCAGCAGCAGCCCAGAACTAGCATAGTGGAGAGGGGTCAGGTAATTGCAAGTCAGGGGAGAGATGCTTGGATAGTGTGTGCGTCTAAGCAGGGCTTCATTTGACAGCAAGTCTCCCATGTTCAGCAGCACCTAAAGGACATCAGCAAATGTTAATTAAGAAACCCAACCTCCAGGGAACAAAGCAGAGGATCAGGCATAAGGAAAACACGATCACTGGCTGAGCCCGGCCAGGTCCGATCAAAGAGAAGGGTTCTTTTTGGCTAGCATTAGATTATCCTAGAAGTCAGAACAGGAGATGTCATGAGTAAAGATGATGATGTCTGCATAGTTCTTCTGCTTCTGATCCACTTTGCGCTCTTGAGCTGGAATGCAGCTCTTTAGAGACAGAGGCTGAGGATCTGCAGCCAACTCAGTGTGAAGAGGTTTGAGGTTGGCTAACTCTGGCAGTAGCATCTTACCCCCAGAGGAGTCAGGACCGGGCAGGAAAGACCTGGGATCAGGTAACCAATGTTACTCCTCCTTGGACATCTGCTAGTGCCTGCAGGCCAGCAGTGCATGGTGCACCTCTTGAAGTGTTTAATAAATGTCACTTCCACGCATGCTCCCCTCCGTGTCCCTGGAGCCATTCTGTCTGCCTCTCCCTCATGCAGGCAAAATGCCTCCTGCCAGCATCACCAAGATATTTCACGTGATGGTCCTTAGTTTTGTGACAGGTTGTAGCTAGGGCGTACTCTGTTCCATTCTAAGCCCCAGGGTCTCTGGAGGGGATTTTTTTCTCTTATCCAGAGAAGCCAGCATGTGACACAGCTCAGAATGTCAACAGCTTCCCATTGAGTCCCGGGCTATGTGGATCGGTGCCCTGTTACTTCCTTTCTGGGCCTGTTGTTTTGATGGGTGAACTTAGGTCAGGCCCTTCTGAGCAAACTCCGGTGGGGGTGGACTGTTGTGTCACATGATAAGCAGCAGTCTGACAGTCACCAGCCTGTAGGAACTTCTCCAGAAAAATGTCAAACAAATTACAAAAGATGCCACACCCTGGAGATTCCCTGGGGCTTCCCCACAGTGAACAGAGCTTGCCCGGACATCAGGAATTCAGCAAGGCTGGATGGAGTTCTAGCAGAGAGGGCCGTCAGGACGCTGCTGTGAGGCAGGCTCCCCTGAACTAAATCCCCAGTGTTCAAAATTCAGGGGTCAGCCCCACCCCAAAAATCATGAGATTAAAAAAAAAAAATCATTTTGCATTCCTGTTCTTTGCCTTTGGCTTTTTGAGTCCTTTGGTCACACTCGGATGCCATAGGTGCTGGAAGTAATGGTGTGGGGGTGCTGCTGTAGCCCCTGGCTTGACAGGGTTACAGTTTGGTTCAATGGCTCTCAGCACCCCCACATTACAAATTGTTCCAGCACCCCAGCTTGGGTCACATTTTTCAAGCTTTTCTCTGCAAACGTGAAAGCTAGAAGTATTTAAAAGAAGAATGCTGAGAGTCTCAGTTAATCACATGACTCCAGAAGTTGGACCTTTAAGAAGACCCCAAAACAATGTCAAGGTTGGAGCCTGTGCTGCTGCATCTTTGCTATTATTGTTACCTGTGCTAGCTAGATAAGAGCTGACATGGGTATGCTTACCCATGCTGCAATCACACCTTGATTTTGTGTGAGGACACCCCTTGTCCAGTGTCCTGCCCACTGCACCATACTACCTCTCATCCTAGGGCCCCCCTTATCTTTTAGACACATGCTGTCTTGTTCTCTGACTGCATTAACAGATGAGTGGCCTGTTCCCAAGCAGGTGCTGATGTTGATCTATGCACCAGCATGCACAGGAAATATTTGTAAATCCATTGATTTCCCTTCCCCACCACAAAGCTTCATGATACAACGGAGCTCCCACTGGCCCAGGGAGCCCCAGACCCAAGAATGCCCCCTTGCAGATGCTCTAGGATGTGCCACGCTTCACACGTTCAATGGGATGGACCCAGCTGCATCAGGTGATGGAGATAAATGTGGTCCTGAAGCAAGGGCCAGCTGTGAGATGTGAGGGGCAGACTGGCTCATGCTGGAGAAATTGCATTTGAACCACACCTGTATCTGACTTGATAAACAAACACTTGGCAGCAGCTACAACTGTCAGTCATGCTGCCTCTTGCTTTCCCCTGTTGGGAAGTTAGAGACAGCTCCGGGGCTGGGTACCCTAGAGCTAGGAAGTGGAAACTTGGGCCTGTCAGGCTGCTGCATGGTGGTGGTGCCCTCCTTCCCCGCCCCAGGTTATTTACCCAGGAGCAGTGATTGGAAATGTACCTCTGGGAGGTGAGCCGCACTGTACAGTGAGAGACTAGGAATGTGCTGCTGTTACATGCACAATGGTCGCTGCCAAAGACAGCTGGGTACGCCCACCAGTGACCTGCTCTGCAAACTAAGGCCCTGGCCTGCACAGTGCTGAGTACCTCCATCTCCGGTCCTAGCCAATGGGAGCTATGAGTACTCAGCATCTCACAGGATTAGGCCATCAAAGGGTTAACATTGGCACTGTTTCAGAGCTAAGCTTAAAGCAGAGATGGCCTCTGGCAAGTGAATTTCTTTCTGGGAGCTTCCTCTTGGCAGGAAGCAGCCGCGCTGTCTGTTAAGGCAGGTCTCTTGCAATGCATTGTCCTAGTGCTCTCTCCAATCCTCCGGTGACCCACTGATCTGCCCTGCTGTTAGTGAACCGTGCAGATTGCCATGTCAGATAAGCCATGTGTAGTGTGAACTCATGGTGACCTGACCTGAACTGGATGTATAACTAGACTCTTTCCAAGATCTAGTTTCACCAGGACCCATGGAAACTTCTCACAGAAAAGCTTGTTCAAGGACATCAGGCCTGATTCTTCTCTCACCATGGGATAAATCAGGAGTAGCTGAATGGCAGTGCAAAGAGGAGGATGTGGTCCATATTATTTCAGGGCAGTGTTCTCTTTGCACTGAATAAGCATGCAGGATATCCTGCTTGGCCACATTTTTGGGAGGCCAGCTCCCATCAGTTGTTTTCTAGCAAGGAAATTAAGCCTTACCTTCTGGCCTACGGCCAATATAGCGATGTCTCCACCCTTAACAAAATGTTGAATGTCTTCCTGATTCAAGGCAACGAGTGCACATTGAGTGGGTTCCGCAGCCTGCAGGCCTGGGAAGTAATTAGACCTGGAATTGCAGAAATCCCCACTGGAAAGCCCCCGGATTTAAGTGGAAGCCACCACCCACTCAAAAGCTTGTGTTATCAGGGATGGCTCAGCTTGGTGACGACCATCGCTGCTCCAGAGAGCAGAAAGGTCACCTAGCAAGGGATTCCCCCTGTCACAGCCAGACGAATGCTGCAGAGGAGTCGCTCTCAAATTTTTCCTTATTGTGCCCTTATTTTCCTTATTGAGACCCAATCATGACCCAATCAAGACCCAATCATGGCTATGCCTCTTCCCAGGTGCTCCCAGTCCCGATTCCACATTTTTCGCTGCAGCAACTAGAATGTTTGGCTATACAAAAATGTAGGATGATTATTTGTATCGTGGTAGCGTCTAGAGGCCAGGGCACTGTGCAAAGAGACAGTCCCTGCCCTGCACAGGTTACAGCCTGAGGAGTTTAGGAGAGTATATGGGGAACACAGGAATAGCCATACTGGGTCAGACCAATTCTCCATCTAGTCCATTATCCTGTCTCTGACCGTGGCCAGCACCAGCTGTTTCAGAGGAAGATGCAAGAAACCCCCTAAGTGGACAGTTGACCATAAAGTTTGCTGACCTTGCAGAACCCTAAACTGGCCTCCTCCTTCTACCTGTGCCCTCAGGGATGGACTCACAGTGCATAGGGCTCTTTCTGACGGCTTCATGTTGCAGCACAATGGGAGGGATGGGGTGTGTGTGTCACAAAGATTCATATTAGCAATATTTTGTCTTCAGACAACCCCACAGTCTCAGCCCAAACCTAGCTGACCATAGACATTAGCAGGAACTGGAGACACTGATGAGAAATCAGACAGAACAAATATGGTACAAAACCAAATAGTACGACAGGCAAGAACCGACTTGTGTTGGTGACCTACTGCAGTGATTCTGGTTGTTCCCGGAGTCACCATCAAATAACAATGTGAGGTGTTTGTTTATGGTAATTTGACTGCACTAGGAACCAGGGTAACTTCTTGGCAACAAGAAGTAAATAATCCCATTGCACTGTCATGACATAAAGTGAAAACAGGAATGCGAGTGACTGTGGTTACATTTTCCAATGGTGTCACCATTATGTTTACCAAGCCAGACGTTGCAGTTTGCACTTTGCACTTTCACCTCTCATCTGACAACATCTCTTGTCTTCTTTATGTTTCCCGCTGTGTTTGGCCTTGGGAATGAAGGCTTTAATTTATTCCCCATGCTAAACTTTTGCACCATTGCTTTCTGCAATTTATATCACAGCCTAGTATCAGAGGGGTAGCCGTGTTAGTCTGTATCCACAAAAACAATGAGGAGTCCGGTGGCACCTTAAAGACTAACAGATTTCTTTGGGCATAAGCTTTTGTGGGTTTTAGCTTATGCCCAGATAAATCTGATAGTCTTTAAGGTGCCACCGGACTCCTCGTTGTTTTTGTTTTTATATCACAGCCTGTCCATTGTCCATTAGTGCTTAAAGTGCTTAGGGATACAGTTTCTATGAAGGATGCTATAGAAGAAAAGAAAAAGGGGTGTGGCTTCCCTCATTAAGTTAACTACAAGTTTAGTATCTAATCATTGTGGGCCTGATTTCCACAATTGTGCATGTCCAAAAGTGCATGCGCAATTGCACACCTATCTAGAAAGTGCAATCGCCATTGCTGTGTGCACAAACTGGATAACTGCAGGTGCAAATTAGTGCAGTTAGCAGTTTGCACACGTACATGCAGCAACAAATTAGGTGCACAATGGTAGGTGCAAAATTCTGCAAATCGGGTCCTTTAAATGCTGTATGATGATGGACATACAGCAGCACAGTCTGGAACCCTCCTATAAGCTTTTTTCACAGAATTTCATGGAAAGCAAAGATTCACCATAATTTCAGTTACAGTGTGCAATGGGACAAGTTAGGATTTCATTCTACATCCCAATAATTCTGATTGCCTCTTGTATCTGGATCTTTATCTGCAGGTTCTGGTGTAGGGCGAATGATAAGCAGAGGCATTTTTCACCTTATCAGTGGCCTTCACAACTCATTTTGGTTTTGTTTTGGCAGTACCGAGCCTGGGTTCGACAAGAGTATGGCAAAAACCCATTTAATGACCAAGAAGAGCTACAGCGCTTAATCACAGAGCAGGAAAAGAAACAGAGAGAACAGCAGCTTGGAAGCAGGGAGAATCACTGGATCAACTCCCCAACATCCAATTACCCGCTTCCCTTCAATGCCTATGGTACCAGCAGCAACAGATGGATGAACAGATAAAAAAGGACAGCTAATTCCACAGAGCTGCTATCACTGTTGGATGAAAGTCTCTGCATTCATCTTTCAATGAGAATTGCTTTGATGTTTATGGCTAGGGTGGAGAGCAAACTGAATGCCAACTTCCAAAACATGCTATGTCAAGTAATGTTATCTAGTGGTTAGAGCCGAAGATTGCAATCCGGACTCCTGGGTTCTACTTCCAACTTTGCTACTGACTTATAATGTGAAACCAGGCAAATCACTTGATCTCCCCATGCATCAGTGTAACCATCTCTCAGGGGTGTCGAGTGGCTTCACTTATTAACGTTTGTGAGGGTGTTTTGAGACCCCCCGATAAAAGATCCTATGGAAGCGAATTTATTAATGTTACTGAGTTGGGTTGAACCTTTTCCTGTGAAACTTTTAGCACTATTGCACACATGGAGGGTGAGTTTTCTGCTTTGCAGATGGATCACGTTATGATCCAAGCTTGTTTTGTTGTAGGGCTGCACTGGAATGACGGGCATGCTCTCAGTTACAGACAAAGAACCAAATTCACTGCATGGGTAATCAGGCATCAATCCACTGAAGTCAAGAGTTGCAGCTATTTACTCCATCAGTAGGTTTGGCCCGCAACTTGTTTTCAGGGTGTTTAGAAAACAACCAACCACCATGTTTCAGTAAGAGGACGTGTGATAGCTTTTGAAAGCTCTTTCTGCCTGCTGGGACTTCATCTCCTTGGTCTCTTGTTTTCCTATTATTATGGTGTGATAAATCCCACGATCTCTTCAGTTGTTGGACACTGAGGGCCAATACAGGGCCAGGATGTCTGAAAACAGAGACAGCTGCTGCTCAATACCACTCTCCATTTTACTCCATGCACAGTACAGCACATATACAGATATCACTCGCTGTCCTAGTCATCATCAGTTCAGATTGACCTTACGCTACAGATGTGCCTATCAGAGCCTGATGGGGCATCTACCCATCTCAGAAGAAGGAAACTTGGACTGCAGAGAGCCAGTTAGGGGTTGGGGGAAGGACGCTGGAGTATTTTCACATCCACAGCGCTCTGAGGTCCACATGTGCAATGACAGAACAGTTGCAATCACATTGCTGTCACTTTCTTCAGCAAGCAGACCCATGCCTCTCACAAACATGCCATAGAGTCACAGAAACCGGAAATGGAAAAGGCCCATTAGCCCACCTTTTCCGCTCCCCCAGCCTTTGCGAACGTGCATTCCCTAATGCTTGGTGAAGCCCTGTTTTAAATGACTCAAGCAAAGGGCTTCCACTGCTTGCTTGGGGCTGGATTGCACAATCCCTTGGCTTCAATAGGACTGCTCGTGTAAGTAAATTCTCACCAGCATGTGTAAGGGTTGCATTACCCATTGCCTTGGGGGTACCTTGCAGTCTGGAAACTTTTCCTCTTGTCCAGATTACGTTTTCTTGTGACCTGTTTCCTCCTATTCCTCCTCACTGGACCACCCCAAAGAAGTCCTTTGTTTCCTGGGTGTCTCCACCCTTCAAATCCATGGCTCAGAACCCCTTGGAAAATTCATGATCTTGGGCTCCTCACCTGTGTCCGATACATGAACTGTGCAAAATCCTTTCTGAGCTGTGCTTTCTTTTATAACTGTCATTGTGAGGATTTGATCACAGAGGCCAACATCAAATCCAGTCTACAACAAAGGCTCCACACACATTCTCAACTGGGGTAACTTGGTGTAGTTTCATTAGCTTCTTACCCCATCTCCCTCACAATATTTGTGTTGCTGTTGTTGACTGTTTTGACATTCAACAACAATTCAACAAGGGAAGCGTGCCGTGCTGCAGGCTGTGCGGCTTTCAGTGTGTGGGTAAATAGAGTGTGTAGATGGCAGAAGCTGTCAGCCAAGCCACTCAATATTCACAGATTTTTTTTTTTTTTTACACACAGTTAGGGCCAGGTTCTCATGTACACCAAGACCCCTTTGCATAGCTCTCGCAGTACAAAGGGGCTTTAAAATGAAAGGCAATGTAGTAAAGTGGGGGAGATTTGAGTTGGTTCTTACTACTTTTACATTGCCGAAGTGGTGTGAAGTGATGGTTAGTGCAAATGAGAACCAGGCCCAACGCTATTAAAAACTTTTAAAAATCCAGGCGAGAACAATGATTGTATTCAGACTTAGAGGACCTGATCCTTCAGTCAATAATTCAGACAGATACTTAAGGAGGTGACTAACTTTAAGCAACTGAGCAGTCCCACTGACTTAAATCGACTACTCATGTGTTTAAAGTTAGGCATGGGGAAAATACTTTGCTGAGTTGCAGAGTATTCCTGAGTAAGGACTGCAGGATCAGGAATGAAGTACCCCTCAGTGTTTATGATCCTACATAAGATTAAGGGGAAAATAGCAGGGACTATTTTATAGAAACCTTGCCCTAAAATGTAACCAGCCTGTGTTTATTATTTGTTCTGTTTCATTGCTAAAAATACAGGCTACTAGTTTTATGTATTGACTTAAAACCCAGACATAATTTCCATCCATCCATCCATCCATGAACGTATAGGACCCTCACTATTATAGCATCAGCAATATTTAAAACCTACATGACTGATTTTTGTCTTTCACTAAAAAAATCCTGTAAATAGCCTGCTTGGATTCTCAAAATTTTCTGTTATCTGCTATCCGTTTTTAGACAAAAAGTTGTTCAAAATATTTCTAATAATTCAGTTTATGGTTGGTTCTGGATGCTGGAATGTTTTGAGTGTGACAAAACGGTGGATGACTTGAGAGATCTTTAACTGAACATTAGAATAAAAATGAGATTTATTACACATTCGGAATCCCTGTTCTTAGTCTTTGCTTTGGCCTCATTAATTCCTGGCATAACTTCAATGAAATCAGTGGAGGCTGGGTATGAATTGGGGGCCTGGGCACTATTCCACTGATGTCATGTCATGCGTATTTTTTCGGAGAACCATGATCAACATCAAAATAATTTTATTTAAAAAGAGCCAGATTGTTTTTTTTTTCTGATACAAATTAAGATTCTGGAAAAGAAATTGATGGAGTTTTTCTTCCCCTTAAAGCAGGAAAAAGGCCTCTTATCTTCTTGTCTTTCTCTATCCATTACTCTCTAGCATTCAAAATGGGAGCCTGAAAGCCAGCTGAAAACACTAAAAACAAAACCTGCAACATACACTACCTGGGAATGCGCCCTTAACAATTAGCTAGATAAACCATCATAAATGCTCTTAATCAAATGGATTGAGAGGAAGTCAATCTCTTAGACATTGCATCTAGTAACTTGGGTAACATTTTAGGAAGCAGACAATGGAGCTTGTGTATAGGAAAAGAGAAGAGAGTTGGTTTCTCTGGTATTAATAGGAAGTTATAGTAGATATGTGATAAGCAGAGATTACATGTGCAATAGGTGTTACAAACTCCCATGGGCAAGCCTGAAACAAACTGCTAAACCATTGCCATGCTAGTCATTTATGTGTGGCTATATCACTGAGCTCTTTTGACAAAGGAATGGTCAGAAGTTCCAAACTATTACGAGTTGCAGATTGTGCGATTCAAAATTCATGTCTCCCTAGACTTACCACAAGATCTCAGATTTGGCTTAAGGTCTCGATGTCACAGGGTACAAATGATATCCAAGTGGGTACCATATCATGAAACAACTGTCTCACATTTAAAAAAAAACCAAAACACTGTCACATACAAGAGTCAAGGGCAGTACTTCTAACTCTCAACCTTTCCAGACTACTCTACCCCTTTCAGGAGTCTGATTTGTCTTGCGAACCCCCAAGTTTCACCTCACTTAAAAACTACTTGCTTACAAAATCAGACATAAAAAAACAAAAGTGTCACAGTGCACTATTGCTGAAAAATAGCTTACTTTGTCATTTTTACTATGTTATTATAAAATGAATCAATTGGAATATAAATATTGTACTTACATTTCAGTGTATAGTATATAGAGCCGTATAAACAAGTCATTGTCTGTATGAAATTTTCATTTGTACTGACTTTGCTAGCGCTTTTTATGTAGCCTGTTGTAAAAGTAGGCAAATATCTCGATGAGTTGATGGACCCCCTGGAAAACCTCTGTGTGCCCCCGGTTGAGAACCACTGTTTTATTCGACCCACTTCTGTTGGTGAAAGAGACGAGCTTTCAAGCTTCACAGAGCTCTTCAGGTCTGGGAAAGAAGTGCTCTGTGGAGCTTGAAAGTTTCTCTCTTGCACTGACAGAAGTGGGTCCAGTAAAAAGAGATGACCTTCCCCACCTTCTCTTGCTGTGATCTGGTTGCAGTCAGTAGGTGTCACTTTTCAGAGGAACAGCCGTGTTAGTCTGTATTCGCAAAAATGTCACTGTAAACGTAAGGAGAATTGGATGCAAGGCTGATGGCCTGGCAATTTTGAGAATGAACACTATGTGCCTGATTTGTCAGAAGCACCGAGCACCCACAATTGTAGCTGAAGTTTATGACAGCTGTGGATGCTTCAGCACTTCTGAAAATCAAATCTACGGTACTGACTCAGTGAGGTGCTGTGCACTCTACTTCAATTGGCCTTGAAGGTGCTCACTGTCTTTCGGGGTCCTTATGTTGCTTAACTGTTGTCACACACACACAGTCCTGGCAACAAATGGCTGACTCCCCATCCACTGAGGCATTCCACCATTCAATAATTTTCATAATACAGAATTCACAATTTTTCAGAATTCACAAGTTGTCCATAGGCAGCTTTCCCAAATCATCACAACTCTCTTTTATTTCTGTACATTTATTAGCTGTATTCCGTGTGTCATGTCTGTTGCATATTTGGAAGTCATACGATATAAATAAAGGTCCGGCAGTGATATATTATTCTCATATTGGGAAATAGGTCTCTTAAAATAAATATTTGGCAGTTCTGTTTGCACGGAAACTGGTTTAGCTAGTTTTTGTACAGCCATTGCCAACTGCTGATGGGAATGATTTGGAATATTTCTCAAGTGCATGTGTTTTGGTTTCAGGCATAATAAATGTCCAAATGTTAATGTGTAGATATGGCAATTTAAGCAAGTGTTACTGGAAAGGAACTACATGGACTGAGATTTTGAAAAACCTCCAAGACATTTTCAGGGAGGTTATTATTCGACAACTAGTAGCTCTGTAACTTCTTTCTAGAATCACCTTTCACTTATTACTGCCTCAATCAGGTCACCACTATGGTATAAAGTGCCTGATTCTGATCTTGCTTATTCTGGGTTTTGTGCTTGTGTAATTCCATTGAGTTTGGTGGAGTTACTCCTGATCTACAGCAGTGTGAGAGCAGAATTTAATTGTGGGTCTATTTCTGTTTGTCTTCTTGTTTAGATTGTCATTGTAAGGTCTTTGGGGCGAGGACTGTCTTTTAGTCTATGTTTGTAGAGCAGCTAGTACAATGGGTCTGGGACTCCTAGATGCCACTGTCATGCAAATAATAACAACAAAGTTCTGTTATTATTAAGAAAAATGTACAGTGATCTATGAAAGATCTCTATTGCTTAGGGATGATTTGAATGGCAATCTGTTCATATGGCTCACTAATGCTTTGGGCCCAAATTCAGACTTAATGTGAATCAGTGCAACTCCTTCGGGCCTCTTTCTGGTCTCACTTACATAGGTTTGTTATATATGTAACCCCATTGACTTCAGAGGAGTCGCTTCTGATTTCCATGGGTGTGCATGAGATCATGACAACAGAAATAGGCCACTGGCTTCAATGGAATTCCTCCGGCATACAGCGGGATTGGATTTTGTCATCATTCCAGAGGTTCACAGTCTGTGTTGGACGTGGGATAGATGGACAGATAGATTTGGCACAACAAAGCTCATTTTACAAGGTAACAAAATGTTGTTGCTTTTTTTGGAAAAAGAAATGTATATTTATACTCTTATGTTTGCAAAGTATATACAGCCCAAGGGCCCAATCCTGAGTGATGGTGTTTGCCTCTTGTCCAAGTTGTTGAACATCTCATCTTCCAAGGAAGTCAAAGGGACTATTTGTGAGTATGTGTTTGCAGGATCAGGTGCCAAATGAACATATGATTTCCCACTACATTAATAACAATCCACATAGTTGCATTTGACCCCTAATATTTTTATAGTTATTACCCAAATATCCCAGAGGATACGGATCATGCTTCAAGTGTGGGTATTTAAAAAATACTTTAAAGATTAGGGTTGCGATTTAGGTCATAAATTAAAACAGTGTTTCTGTAACCTAGGTCCTAATTTTTATTATATTGTTTATGTGTATAGTTCCATACACTCCCCTTGCGGATAGCAATGTCATCTCTCAGTGTTAGCCACAGTGAGATGTACACATATTTCTTCTTCTAAAAAGCATGTATATAATCTGTACGCGGTGTGTAGGCCCCCCCTCTTTTTGTCCTATGATTGCAGAGGTGTTAATGAGCCACTCTACCTTGAATGGAATACTTATGGCACCTTAGAGACTAACCAATTTATTTGAGCATAAGCTTTCGTGAGCTACAGCTCACTTCATCGGCTGTTACTCTGAAATCTACCTTGAATGGTTTCAGAGTAGCAGCCGTGTTAGTCTGTATCCGTAAAAAGAAAAGGAGTACTTGTGGCACCTTAGAGACTAACAAATTTATTAGAGCATAAGCTTTCGTGAGCTACAGCTCACTTCATTGGATGCATACAGTGGAAAATATAGTGGGGAGATTTTATATACACAGAGAACAACACCCATTGTTTCATGTTCTCTGTATATATAAAATCTCCCCACTATATTTTCCACTGTATACATCCGATGAAGTGAGCTGTAGCTCACGAAAGCTTATGCTCTAATAAATTGGTTAGTCTCTAAGGTGCCACAAGTCCTCCTTTTCTTTCTACCTTGAATGGTCCCTTACAATATGTGCTCACTACCTATGCTAAACAATCTGTTCCACCTCGCATTGTGCTGTGATGCTGGGAGTGCCTTTCCCAGACTTTATGAAGATCTCTGTGTGGCTCGAAAGTTTGTCTCTCTCACCAACAGAAGTTGGTCCAATCAAAGATATTACATCACCCATCTTATCTCTCTGTATTTAATTTGGCAGCCCTAAAAACAAATGTCTAAAATCATCAGAAAGCAGAAGTCCTCTTGTCTCTGTTATCACAACTAATCTACTTGGGGAATATCTTGGCACATTTCTATTCCAGATAAAACATGGAAAGGCACTATTCAGTTTGATAAAGAATTTTCTGTTCAGATCTACAGGTGGAATGGAGACCAAAGTAAAAAACACTGGCAAAACAGTCACAAAATGACATTTCCCCTGCTTAATTTATTTTTCCAAATCATAAATCATAGGTGTGCATTTCAGGTCATCTTACTCCTGAGAATCCTTTTCAGATATGGGCTGGCCTTATCCCGTGCAGTGCTGAGTACCCTCACCTTCTAGGGATTTTAATCAAAATTGTACTTTGTAGAATCGGATCCTTAATCCCTAAATGTTATAGAACAGTGATACTCAGACTGGGAGCTGCAAGTGGCTCATTAATGTGCCTCCTGGGGCTCTTTGTGGCACATGATATTAAAACACTATGTAATTTAATTATTAACCAATCTAAGTTATTAACTAATCAGGATGCTTTTATTACATTATTAACCAATTAAGTTATCAACTTGCACTAACAATGAATTCACTCTACTGTGGCTTTTTTGGGTAATGTTGATCACTAATTCGGCTCCTGAACCTCTGAAGTCTGAGTATCAGTTTTAGACTCTCCAGCTTATGTAAAAGAAACTGGCTCTAGTGAATCTTGGTTTTACAAAATCAGTGCTTTTT